AACAATGAACACAAGCAAATAGTTCTGTACTGTTCATAGGGTAAATGGTTGGTACAAACAGGAGGACCTGTCCTAGGTGTGCTGGTTACACAAAAAAGGGCAGTACCAGAGAATGAAGAACTACCCCCACTTTTTACTTCATTCAAGAAGAGTGATCTGTTTAACTCTGTTTAGGAAAGGTCTCTCTCATTGGAGGATGCGAGGATGGGGCAATTCACAGACGCTTTCATCCTTGTTCCATACTGCTCTTGTTCAAGTCACACAGCCTCTCTGGGGCTGAGCTCTGACTGGCGCTCCCGCTCGGCTAACAAACGCGCACTCTTACCACTACCGTGCCTAGCGAGCAGAACTGACAAGGGAGGCAGATTTAAAAAACGAAACACACACACACCTTGGAGAAGCTTATGCACAATGGAAAGGAGGATTTACTTACTGATTAGGCTGCCTGCACGAGTCTCTTCATACTGACAGCCTCTCTCTCTCTCGTACTAAGCCCCAACCAGCACTTTTAAGTTTACCTTAGGCAAACAGGTGAACACTTTGCCCTTTCAAATTGCAATGGGAAATAGTTTTTGAATCCTGTATTTTCTTGAACTGAACAGGAGCCTGATAAGTCCCCAGAATAAATTAAAATAATCCTGAGATGGCTATAACCTCTCCTTTTTTTCCAAGGCCTTCTATGAGCTTTGAGAAGCAGCAGCATAACACAGTTTATCCTAGTCTCTGATCCACTCCATACAACAGGGATGGAAAGCAGTGTCAGAGCAGAGCCCTTACTACAGCTTTACAGAACAAGGTATTATCTTAGAAAGAAAAAAAAGCCTCAAGACTGTTTTATGTTGAATCCTTTGCTTTTTCTTCATTTCAAAGTTCACTTCTTTAAGAATGGCACTGTGTTACTGTCAACACCAGAAAGCTTAGATCCCAAGAGAAACAAACCATTACATACACAGGATAAGTAAAATAAAAGCAGGGAAAGACACTATTCGAAGCATGGGGACAGAAAGCTATCCCGGCTGTTCAAAAGAATCGCATAAATGTGTCGTGGAATCAGCAGAAGAGAGTCAGTCGTCTTTATAAAAAATCAGTTATCCTGGATGCTAGCTAGATGACAATCAACAGGGTTGTTACAAATCAATTTTAAAAAACCCTAACCCCAGGTATTTTTAATAAATTAAACACTTCAGTTCAAAGGAAAATATTTCCTAAAGTAATAGGGTTTTATATGTATCAAGACACATACCAGACAGCTTGACCTCCAGTTTTCTTATTTGTTCATTTCTTCTGAACAACTGGGATGAAAGATCCTCTCTAGAGCTGCTTCCATCAGAAGCCTTGGTAGAAAAACAACACTCACGTAACTTACAAAATTTAGAAAAAGTGATCCTGCCATATACTAACGCTATGATAATAAACACTGCCCCACCTAGGAATAACGCTTCAGTTTTTCACAGAAAGGGGAAAGTTGTACTAGCACAGCAGAATGTGTAAAAAATGCTGAAGAAGAAAAACAGTAAGGGCTTAAATAGTCAGCTCTGCAATGCTGGCCTGTTCCATGAAATACAATGCTTTTAAAAGAAGCTATAGCTGAAAACTATTTGTTCAAACTGATCACTGAGGAGGCAGCATAATAGAACGACTAAGGGGGGGAAAAGAAATCAGGGTCTACAGTACAGGTTTCAGGATGGGTCAAAGCAAAAGTCTTTTGGAAAACTAAGTAAGTAGAAAAGAAACAGTAACGCTCTTCAGGTGGGATAAGCTCGCTTAGGCACCAATGCAGTAATCTTCCCATGCAATGGTCTCTCCATGCAAAACCCACTGCATAACTGACTTATGATTCTCTATGGGCTTTTGTGCTCCATAAAAATCAGTATTAAGAGCAGTTAAACGAATCTTGCTGAAGCAACTAATTCTTGGAGGTTTTCTGAAAACCACTCAAGACTTCAGCTACCATCGTTACTTGTTTTCTGTTCTCTAAACTCACAAGACGGTAAATGAAATTTCTACATGAGAATTTGTTAAGTGCAAAAAAATTTGAGAAAGACAGTAGACTGATATATTTACATTGTAAAATGTATTTAAACATTAGGAGTTCCAGCTTTCTGCTTAACAGAACTGGAATTTCACCTGAGCTTCAGAAAAAAATGAGTTAAAACTCAAGCGGGTAAGTAACTTCTCCATTTTGCAGACAGCAAAACATAAAGCCACTTGCTGCAATACAGCGGGTACTGTGGGCTCCAACAGTGGTGCGACACTGTGTCTTAATCCGGGCTTTGAAAAATATGATAGCCATCAAGGGGCAGAGGTGCCAGAGCATTACAGGGTTTCATTTAACCCATACGCTCCTGGAATTCTACAGCTTGCTTAAACAGCGCTTTATAATGAAAGAGAATTTAAACCAGACATTGGAGGAAATAAAATGGTTTTGAGTGCAGCAAAACTGAATACATGTCGCATAAACAACATGCTCGAGTAGGAAGAGCACCAGGAAGCCAAGAGGTAAACACAGGTCCGTAGCCAGATCGTAGCTAACCAGTATCTAGCTGGCTTTCCTACTGCTTCAGTAATTAACTTTACAAACAGGTATCCTACACGTTACTAGAAGTCTATTCAATATTTTATGTCTGCTTAACAGCATTCTGTGCTGAGATAGTTTTGTAACTCATGTTTATATGGGAATATAAGCTGCCTAGTAACTACTAAGGTTAACGTACAAACATTTTCTCTTCTGTATTTAAGTTTATTCAAGCTAATAATTCATTTATGCATTAAGACGTACAAAGATACCACAATACGCATTCAACTCATACTCTAGGCTTAAAATGATTGTCTGTAAAGCTGGAATAGAAAGGCTGTAAGAGAAATCAAAGTTCAAAGCAAGATGTAACTTACAAAGTCATCTCCAGAGTCTGCTCCCACCGATGTAATTGACTCCTTACTGAGAGATCTGGGTATCCTGGCAGCTCCTCCTGGTCTGGGAGCAATAGCTGCCTCTTCTGCTATCTTCTTCTTCAGTTTTGCAAACATTTTACTGCCCTATAGCACTGAAATAGGCAGGTACTTTGAAAAGCCACTACCTCCAATATGGTCAATATACTGACGCCCTGTTTAAAGCTTCCAGATGCCGACATTTAATTTTGTGCCTCATCCACTCAGTTTTATTGCGTTTCTAGTTCCATTAAAGCCTTTGTAGACTAACGGTGCCTGCAAATTAAACAGATACGGTTTCCACCCTGAAAATTTCTACTCGTATTAAACACTTAAAGATAACTAAATGCCCTTTAACATCGCACCTGTTACAACACACTTAAGAAGAAAATCACCCAGAGTAGAGCCCTTTAAAAAAAAACAAACCCCAAACAAACCCGAACCGTGACAGCGGTCGGCGGCACGGCTGGCGCCCGCCGGAACGGGCAGGGGCCG